TTGTTGTGCTGATGATGATATTTAATCATAATTTTCTAAAAATAAATCTTATATCGACTAATAATTAAATGATCGGTAACGACTAAAAAAAAAAAAAATATATATCATTAAATATCTGATACCTTTGTTTTTTATTATAATACATATTTCAACTATTGGTTCATTTTATTTTAAACATTTTTTTTTCACCATTGTCACTTGAGTTTTAAGGTATTTTGTATATCAGAATATAAAAAAAAAAACTGCATGAGAAATAAAATGAAATATGTTTTATGAATTATAATTACTTATTTTTTTCAATTTATTTCATAACAAAATTATAACTGAAATTTATAATTTTACCTTCTATTTAACGAAAATATTTTTTAACAATATTTAAATCAGGATTTTTTGTACTTTTAATGTGATAAATTCACGAGTATTAATTAAGCTTACTGATATAAATAAAATTATTTAAATATTTCAATATTAAAACTACCATAATTTATTTAACATGTAAAACATAGGATGGTGTGCAAAATACAAAATTATTTTTATAATTCTTAACTGGCCATTATAATAAAGTCCAAAATAAAATTTATTATAGCATATTAAGCATTAAGTTTTTTCTGGCTTAATAATATTAGTATGCAAGTTACTATCTAATTGTAATTTATTAATTTTTAACGATTATGTATATTATTTATAAAGTATTATAAAATACCAGGCCACGGGTATTTCGGACTCAAGTTATAATTATACTTAATAGTATAAGTAAATTTTATTATTCAAAGCATAAATAAACATTTAAGTCTTCATATGAAAGGTTATTTTAATTTTTTATATAGCTATAAAAAAGAGGCGTTATACAGGTGTCGGGTGAGATCCGGGATTTGGAATGGATAGAAGTGTGTAGTAATACACTTTTGGTGCAGTGCATTTCCTATTATCATGTTTATTAAAACTTCCAGTAGATTTTAATTTTTTTTCTAAAATTGAAAAAGATATTTGAATAAAACAATTGTTTTGATTTACGAGTGTACTTAAAAAAATATTTATTTAATAATGAGTAATTCGGATGATTCACTCAACCGAGAACAAACAATATGCAAAAGTTCAATAATAATTTAAATTTAGGAAATTAATTCCTTTATATTTTTATCATTATTATATGAAAAATATCATATTCATCACCCACTTCTGTGTTACAATAGAATTATTTAGATATAAATAAAAATTGTACTAGTTATTTATTTAGATATAAAATAAATTCAACTTATATTTGATTTATGTGAAAATATAATAATAATTTATTTTAATAATTTAAACATATCAAGTAGTTGTGTCATAATTGTTGGGGTGTTTCGTCTCTTCTCAACCGTACAACAGAGATACGCACCACTACTAAAATAGAGAGTGAAAATATAAGACGCGTTAATTCAGCGATTTCCTGTGGACATTCCTAACCAATACCAGCGCATTTATTTTCATTCGAGATTTTCGCATTCCTTCCCACCACCATCGCCAACGTGGTCTTGTGTCGAACGGCTCCCCGGAACAACGATCACTGGTCTGCCATCACAGTCGACCGGGCCAAAGAATAGGTCGGTATTTGGTCATCATTTTCGAGGGGCTTCCCGTTTTAATGGCATCGCCAACGCATGCGAGTAAGTTGCCTTTCACATTGCTCACAGCATTTCAGCAGGGGAGACCACATCGTACAAACCTATAACCCTATGCATGGCTCGGGACGACATATGGAGGCATATGGATGTGCGGCACATGAATAGCATACGGCTCTGGCGATTTACCTCTCCTCGGTCGTGTACTACTCGGATACCGGCAACAGGATTTGTGTAAAATCAGGGATGTACGCGTCAACATTCGGGCGCGTAGGGCGAGGGTTAAAAACTAGTATCGTCGCATATATTTTTCCACTTGCAAATTCTAAACAGCCCACATCCTTTCCACGTCATCATCGTGGGATTGTATAGTATCAACACTCTAATATATGATCTTGAATGCTCTTCCCTAACTTTTCGCGTTTATAAAATAAATTACATTTTTAATGAAGTATAATTGATGTAATAATATGGAAAATTAGTTGTAAAGCTTATGATTGGTGAATGATACTCCTATCTAGTGGTATTTTTTAACATTAAACAATTATACTATTGCTCTTGGAAAAACGAATCGGAGTATAAGAAGTCGGATAGATCAATTTATATTCCTAAAAATGGTTATTAAAATACAAAAAATATTTTTTTAGAAGGTAGATTAAAATTATGATATTCTAACTTTCACAAAAAAAGGTATCTAAGTTTTGAGAAAATCGAAAATGTTAAGTACTTATAAGCAGCACAAATATCATGAGAATATTTAAAAACTGTGAAATGTCTTTAACTAAATAATTAATATCGTTTAATGAAAGTTTATTGAAATATCAGAATACGAAAATATTTCATATTGTAGCGCTCATAAAACTTTTTTGCGACCTTCCAATAATTTCATTCTATTTTTTGCTTCCAAGAAAACGTTTCGAAAAATCTGGTATTTAATTTTCAAAATGTTATCTCATTTTTTACAGAATGGGCTGTGATCCAAAATTTAAAGTTATTTAGTATATAAAAAAGTACATTAATTATTAACAAACAAAATGAATGAATTTTGAGATTTTTATCGTTTTATTAAAGTTTAATGTTCAAATGCATTTAAAATTTTATTTTAGTTAATACTCCATATTTTTTTCATTAACTATGATATATATGATGAATATCATTATCCATTATCGAGATATTTCTAACTTAACACAACAAAAAAATACTATCGACATATGATATTTTTAAATACTTATAAGTATTTAAAAAAAAGTTTGTATCTATTGAAAGTTGTTACCATTAAAAGATATAAATATGATTGTAAATTTTATAAAAACCGATGTTACTGTTTAGTAAACATTTAACTCATTACGGCTATTATTTTTTGAATTGTGATAGAGAATTCGGTATGTCGTGAATTTACTAGTTTTAAAATTGTTTTATCAGTTTTCTGTATTTATAATAAAAAAATGGAAAAGTCATAAAATTACTACCAGAAAGTACCAAAAGGTTAAAGTTTCCTATTAGCTACATTTAATGACCTTGATGATCGGAGTAATTTTTATAGTCGAAATCGTGTACATAGACACAAAAATTAAATAGTGCGTGTTAAAATAAAAGGCAATGCGAGATTTGAATTTCGATATCGGTCGAAGTTTTTTACAATTTCCTGTGTTATTCTTAATTTTTTATAAAACTTTTGAGACAAATAAAATATGACTCTTCTTAAATTATTATTAATATGGCATTAACTAGATACAATTTCCTATATTTTACATCCATGGTTATGATGATTAGTATATTCATTTTGGTTAAAATATTGCGTAGAAATAAAAATAACACACGTAATTTGATCAAATCAATAAATTTTACATTTCACTCATAATCTAGCAACATTTTAATTTTTATTTATAACATAAAGGCTTTTTATAATTTTTATATGTTAAATTATGACTGTTTTTTTACGATCATTACATAATAAAATTATAGTACTTAAATATTTAAAGTTTAAGATATTATATCAATATAAACACAAAACATTGTATATTAAATTAATTTTAACAATTTGTTATATATTATTATTAAAATTATAAAGTTAATGGTAATAATATGAACTAATTGTTGTACACTACAGCATAGTTATTTTCAATAGAGTGTTGTAATTTTATACATAAGAATTGACTATCTATTTTTATCAGCTTGAACATTTTATTCGATACACATATTATTAGTATTTAGTGCTTATAATACGTGATCGATAGAAATTTTCATACTGAAATGTTAATGAACTATTAACCTAACGGTAGTGCTTTTAGAGACAAACAAATGCTCTCTCTTGTATCTTCCTCTCTGTATTTTGTCCTCAAATAAAGTTTGAAGGGATCGATTACATTTCATACAATCATCACATTTCATGCAAGCTAGAAATTAATGGTTTATTTGTTTCGCATGTTGGGTGGAAACCAATAACTATACTTGAAAACTCTGAAAAGCAATATATTTTTCAATAATTTTTAAAAATATTACAAAATATACATGTATATACTTATGCTTGAATACGTATATATTGTGTACTAGTATATATATATATATATTGTAAACTTATTAATTTTTGTGTTTTGACTACATAATATATCCATTGTTGTTTTTTTATTTATTTGACGATTATAAAAAATAATTAATTGAAAGATTTAAAACAATTTTGTTTAATTTCTAAGACAATTACTTATGAGTTTAAAATGTCTGTGTAATTAAGTAAAAATTGCACTTGTATTTTAAAATTTTGATTTCTTGATTTTAGCAACTTAGCAAGTAGTGACAAGTATCTATGATTAAAAGTAAAAAATACTGTTATAAAAAAACTTTTTGGATCTAAGTAAAATGTATGTAATATACATTTTTCATTACCAAATAAAAATCGTAGTGAACTGTTTATACTTTATCTACTTCAATTTTTACTATCCAAAAAAATAACTAGTTTTATTTAAAATGTATAAATTTGTTTTACATTTTCTGAAATAACTTATAGAAAATAAAAAATTTAACTTTTACTATACCTATTCAGTTTGTCTCGTAAAAAAAATCTACTGATTTGAATACATGGTTTGCTGTTATATAAAATTATTTTATAATTATTGAAACTCTTAAACTATAAATTTATCAAAATTAAACAAATAATACTATATTTTACAATTATATGATTTAGAATATATGAATTCATATGGTCTTCTAGGAGTTTATAGTAGATTAAGTCATCTATTTGGTAAACCACGAATTATATAATATTATGCTACAATGTAATCAGTTGTAAGCTATGCATTTAACAGTATATATTAATAAGTTGAATTGTGTAATATGTGTACAATACAAAATACTTTTTTACTCTCTTTTTGGAAATTTATTTATTATTATTTTTGTTAATAGAAAGTTAGCTAACGATTATGGTTGAACAATTATTACAAGAACGATGTGGTCGCCAGTTATCATCTTGTGTACGAATGAATACAAGATTGGCTGGTGCCGAATTCGAGCTAAATTGTGGCTTAAAACAAAGTTCCAGAAGGTCAACAGAACAAAGAGAAAGGAGCCATGTATCTGGAATGTTCGATGGAGAGGACATCGACTTAGATTTGGATCTCAAATATCATCTTCAAACGTGTACATGTTCTTGCAATCATATGGGGTTCGGAAATTATATGGATTATTATCAGGTTAGTTTCTTATTGTACTTTATTTAAATATCTAGAGTAAAATCACTCATGGTATTAATATATAATATCATATTCCTGATATTAAAAAGTTAATAAGTTTGTTTTGTTATATTACATATGATTGCGTTGGTTTTTATGGAAAATCTTAATCAATGTAATTTATTTATAAAAACCAGAATGCTTTTTGCATTTTTATTCATGAATTACTTTTATTGATTGCTGAATAATTTTGTAAATGCTTCGCCTTGTGACAATTTAAGAAAATTCCTTAGTAAAGTTTCAATAACCCAAAATAATATGTGAACATAATTTATATTAGTTTTAGAATGTTTAAAGCACATAATGCATTATTAATACAATAATTTGTAAAAATTTTATTGCTTATTGAGTTTAATAATATAATATTATCGTTAGGTTGATACTTGCAGTTAAAACACCTTTTACGTAGAGATCAATATTTGAAGGGTTGTGGGGAAGAAAGATAATAGTTAATACTCCTAAACTGTTTAGTATTGCAGTTTTAAAGTTTTAAAACTTAAAAAACTAAGAGATAAAGTATGAAATAATTTTAAAAAAAATGTATTGTTTTAATACACCTATTTTTTTATAAAATGAATAACAGTAAATTAAATTAATTTTTTAAAATAAATGACAAAGTGATATAACTATCAATTTTTTTTTCTTTTTTTTCTATTATTATTTCCCCTTGTTACCCCTCATAATTTTTATACAATATTCTTATTTTATTTATTATTATAATATCTTCTTCTGGTTCTTAGTACTCTCTAAGAGTTTTCGCCATCATCACTAAATCTCTTCATTTTACTCAATCCTGTGCCAATTCTTTCCATTCTTGAACTCCCATTTGTTCAAGGTTCTTTTTTGCTACATCTAACCATCTTTTTTTTGGTCATCTTCGAGGTCTTTTTATCGTAGATTTCCACTTCAATATACTGCTTGTATCATCTTCATTTGTCCTCCACATGTTTCCTAATAATTGGATTCTTTGTTCTTGTATGAAACTTATTTCTGATGATTGTTACTTATTTACTTATTATTAATTCTTACATTCGAAAAAAAATAAATCTTTAATAGATAATTTGTACAGGAATCTGGTAGAAACCTTTCACAAAAAAAGATGAAATCCAGAGGTTTCAAAGATTTCCATAATTTTTAAAAAAATTTGGAGGAAAACAAAATATAACCATTTGACCAAATTCAAATTTAATAAATAGTAATAAAATAATAATAAAATTATTTGAAACATTAATAGCTCTTTCAACTTGTAAATATACACGTTTAAACAAAAAATATATCCAAACTCAAACATTATTGGTTTTTATTTCCGCTTAAGCCAAAATATTACTGAAAATTTGATGAATTTAATTTTTTGCCTAATTGTAATAAAGGCGTACATTTTTCTGTACTTACTGAAATGATAGCACCAGTATTTGTTTCTATCATCTTATAGATGTTTTAGTTAAGCAACAGATTAACTGTCCGGTGAACTTTTACTACTTTTAAAATGGTCTGAAAAATATTAGATTGACAAAAATAAAATTCAGCCGCGTAGGACCAAGAATTATAGGCTTTTTCTTTTCTCTCAAAATGCAGAATATTTTAAATTCTGTTAACTAAAGTAAATAACGTATTAGTTATTACTAAGGTTCAAATTTTTAGGCAAATTTCTTTTTTTTTTTTTTAGGATAAAAATAGAAAACAATAAAAATTAGTTTCTTTTAATTTTTAAGGTAATGGGTGAACATTTTTTTTCGTTGCCTTTTTTACCTATAAATGCATTTTTTGCTTTTTATTGTATTTGATTTGTATTTGTTTAATTATCAATTAATCTGATAATTTTAGTGGTGGCGCTAAGGACGGACCAGATTGGGCCTCTACCTAATAATATCTGTCCTTATATGTGGCCTTACCACTGGTCTAATATTAGACATATTAATATAGTTACTGTCAGTGTTGGGAATAGATAAGGCAAAATTTAAGTAAATAAAGATGAAAGATAATATGTCCAAATTCATCTAAATAAAGATAATAGATAAAAAAAATTAAAATATCTAGATAAAAAAAAAGATATTTTCAAAAAATGTTATTTACTTAATTATAATCATTATTATCAATAGGTACCTAGGTATTTAATGTTTATTGTAGTAATGTAGGTAGTGTACCATTAAATAGTATTAATATATAATGTACAATATTTAATGATAGTCACTAAAATGTTACACAAAAAAAAAAAAAAAATGAAATTTGCTCTGTACGTATCAAGATGAATATAGAATACATAAAAAAATATTTTAAGTTAATAGTATTGTTTTCCGAATAATATTAATTTGATGATTTTCATTATTCTATAAGTAGTTACGACTTTACGGGTTCCAAGAGGAAAGTAATGACTATTCAGCATATGAGTGACATGTTTATATTAAAATCAAATACCTATTATATTTGGAACTTCCATGGAAAAATAAGAAATTCAGTTTAAAATAACCAAAAATATTTATCCAATATGAAAATTCAAACAAAATGTCATACCAAGAAATAATAATTACTTATTAATAATAATTCACGAATTATGATTATGAATATAAAATCTATATGTATAAAAGAAAGTCAGGTTATTTACAGAAGTTATAATTCAAGAACGGCTAAACCGATTTTGTTGATCTCTGATTTGTTAGATTCATCTCCGTACAAGAATAAAAATAACTCTAATCTTGGTAAGAATACAGACAATTATCTAGATAATTAATTAGATAGCTTAGCGTTATTTATCTAGATAAGATAAAAGATGACAAAAAATCTATCTAGATAACTTATTTAGATAAATTTATCAAGATAAGTCCCAACATTGATTATTGTTCATAAGCAGAATTATTTTAAATTAGTTTTTTCATAATTTTGTAATTATTTAAAATTTGAAAACATAGTAAACATGGTACTATTATTTATTATTATTATTATTATTATTTTTTTTTTGCTGAAATCTCATTTTTTTTTTTACCCTACCTTATAAATGTTAACCCTCCGGCGTCAGCATGGATAATTTTCTATACATATTAAAGTAAATAAAATAAACATAATAAACACAATAAAAATAGCAACAAATCAATAATAGCTTGTGAAGAGGACGGATTTTTTTATATTTAAAATTAGTTTTAATAGGATTTATTATTGACGATATCGATAAAGTTATAGCAAGTTAATTTATCGTTTTTGAAAAGTACCCAAACTTAGGGATGTCAACGATATACATGGATAAATATTTATTATAGATAAAGTTCGTTGATAAATATTTACTGTCAATAAAATCATTCGATATGACGATAATATCATGGTCCTATAAACTTATAGAATATTTTTTTATTTTTTTCACACACACCAATAATAATTGTAAGTCATAATCAAATCAAATATATTGTTCGAACCCCTCGATTTAGGTTGCCATAACGTATGTCCCTCCAGCACGTGAGAAGCTGACTCTGGTCTGCCGACAGTCATAATTTTTTGTTTTGATGTCGACCTTTGAGTATTGTGTCCGTTGCGTCTTGCGTGTGTTGTTTCCGTTTTGTGAATACTAAATCGTACTTGTATAATCGCCAAATACAATCATGTAATGTACGGTTTTTTCATTTTTCAAAAAAAATTTTTATCTTTATATGTATTTATAATTTTTGAAAATGTATATACTTATATAAATTTTTGTCGATACTAAAATTGTAATATTTATCGTGATCGATAATAATTGGTTTTTATATCAATATTTTAACCTCTGTCGATATTATCACTCCTATCCATACTACCCATCAATATATTAATATAGGTGAATATATTTATTCATTTATACAGGGGCATATTTAAGGGGTGGGCCCATGGGGCCCATGCCTTCTTCTATTCACGGTATTTTATACTTTATTTATAATTGTAGGCCCTCTTATTTTTCATGCAAGGGCACACGGTGGAATACTGGAATATCAGTACATCATGATAATATGATACCATCGACTAAATGAATTAGCATTGCTTAATATACACCCTGAAATAATTATAAAACCTGAAGAAGTAATTGATGCATATGCTAATAAACACCCCAGACGTCTTCAGTTATTGTAATTACAAAAATTATATTTAAAAATATGTTTTATTATAAATTTGTGTAATAAAATATTATGTTTCCATCAAAAACTTGTATTTTGATTATTTGGTTATGAATAACAACAGTTTTTTGAGATGGAAAAGTTATAACTATGTATACTTTGAACTTTTTTTTGTGCCCCCCCCCCCCCATAAGACATTTCTAAATACGCCTCTGCATTTACATCTATAGATTAAAATGTATTCGATTTCTAGATTCAAGATTGTTCATCAGTTCGCATTCGTCAATTTGCCTTTAATCATTTTTCCACATTTATTTTATTCTGCTATTTCAATAAGCCGAAAGTTGAAAATTCTAAGTTAAAAAAAAAAAGAGTTACGAAATTCTGTGAAAGTTTATCCTTTAATTGATTAGTAGCAAATTCTATAAGAAAAATACAAAATATTTTGATTTTTATAAAAAATTTTCTACAATGATATTTTAATTTTAGTGATTTTTATAAATAACTATAATTAAAATTAATACAGTAGAGTGAGGTTGAAATTAAGTAACAAAGATATAGGATTCAGTGGGTTGATGCTAGCATTTTTCCGAATACTGCAAAGTGAAATAATAGCACGTAGTAATAACTTGACACGAGAAGCTCTTTGAAGCAGGCCCGTACTAGCCCGCCGGACAACCAGCTAATGCACGATGCATCCATAAAAATACTTATAATTTTGGAGAAATATTTTGTTCCATAATTTCTCATTAACAAATACTAACTCGTAATTCAAAATATTTATTTTTTTTGAAATCAGAATTCTGCAATGGCGTACCAATATAAATAGAAAACATGTTTTCAAACTTCTAATAAACTATTTTAATTATATAATATTATATCATATATAATCAAATATTCAAAATTAATATATTCGTTTACTAGAAATGTTCATTTATTGGTAATTTGTACTTCAATGTATTAATATGATTATTATTTTTTTTTTTTTTGGATTATGGATACTAATATAATCATATTTTATTCTTAATAATAAATTATTTATTTATATTTACTTATATCCAATTATAAATATAATATAGTTATAAATATGAGTAATAAAATAAAAATAAATATATTATTATTACTAGTAAAATTTTTTATTTATTATAAAATAATATAAAATATAATTAAGATTATATATGTATAGATGGTTAACACTCGAAAATTAATATATAAGTAAATAAACAAACAGTTTATAAATAGAAATAAATAAATTTATATTCTGCAGTATTATTATATTTTTAATGTATGATTAGTTTGAAATTAAAAAATTATCGTCAAGGATAAACAAAGTCGATAAAATTGCGACTCAAGGAGTCAAAAATAGAGCAGCGACTTTATTGACATTTATATATATCTGGCAATGAATTTTTAATTCAAAATCGGTTGTACTGTATAAATACAATAATATTCTAAGCTAAGCATTTATTTAATTTTTATTTATAAAATATTTATTTTTTTATGTCGTTAATTATTATAATATAATATTTTTAATTTTAAAAATGATTAATAATTATTGTACAATATAATATTAATAATTTTATATAAATACCTGTATAACATTCAAAATGTCATGGAATTTAATTGGAAAGCAAAAAATGATGTATTCTCTCTTTAAAAAAAAAACTTAGGTTCTTTTGAAACTATACTATTGACAATGATGTTTCTTCAAATTTTGAATTTAACCATATCATTATCAGATAAGTGTTAAATATTTTTAGCACATTTCATACAGAACGTATTTCATAAGATATATGACTAAAATAAATTCTAGAAATATTTTATAATTTATAATTAGATGCATATCTTTAAACCTCAGTAAAAAACTTTCATGTTAATGACTATATGCTAGAAGTTTGGTAAACTATAATCTAAGGTACATAGATCATTGAGAAAGCTTTAAGTATGCCATGTAGGTACTGATATTTTTCACACGTCATTGATTTCATTATTGGGTTAACTATCAAATAAACATTTTTATAGCAGGTACTTCAAAAAAAGTCGTCCATCTACTGTTGTACAATCGATAAATTAATACATCGAATAAATATATTATATCACATAACTAATTAAAGAATTGTACTGTTCGAAAAAAATAAAAATAATATATTTCTGTTATTTTTCAATGTTATATCATAAAATTACTTTTATTGAAGCTCTCGTCTAAATAAAATATGACTAGTATGTTCAAAATACATTCAAAATACACAGTTAAATTATGGTTATTTTGAAGTTATATCTTAACGCAATGTGTATAAAAATGTAATATATTAATTTATAATAATTTTTAATAATTAATTAAAATTAGTTTGACCATGAGAATAAAACCAAAGAAATATTTACAAATTACAATTACAAATTTGTACAGTATTTATCAACCTACAAAAATCTGATTATGCTGTGTTTGTTTATGAATAACTACAACAAATAATGTTTAACTATATAAAGGTTTTTTTTTTTCGTGAACTCTAAGAGAAAGAAATTTTAAAAAGTTATAGAACAAATATTTTTTTTTTCTGATTTATTTTTTGATCAAATTTATAAATAGTTCATTAAAATATACACACTTTTATCGGATTATTGATTATTGATTTAAGAAATATATGAAGTACTCGTATATATTTAACTATAAATACATATTTTCATACATAATTTTAATAAAATAATCAATAGTTGGATGATATGCCAAAATTATTATGATTTTATATTTTTTAACATAAATTTTAATGTTATAATGGTATGGAAGTATTGTAATGACTACTAATAATATGAATACGATTATTTTTTCATTTGTAGATTTCAGAGGAGCTAATTAATAAATAAAAGCATACAAATATAAATTTATTTTTCCTGTATTTATACAATAATCCGGTCACGCATGTCCTATTGGGACGTAGTATTAATACATAAAACATAAATAAAAGCCTGTTAAAAAAATAAAACTATTTTACAAGACATGTGAACGACGTCACCATTTTAAGTCATCAAGACCTGACGACCACGTACTAACGTAATATTTCCCTGACGAATTCTTGTATTTGACATGTTAGGAAAATACTTTGGACATGTTGGTTCGTGCCCAGAATTATTATCAACGATTGAAATATGAGTATGGCACCGTTACATACTCTACCGAAAAAATAGATAGTAATTATTAATTGTATATAAATAAATAAACAAATAGTTAATGTTTAGAAGTTAATAAATAAATAAAAATTGATTTAGCCAGTAGCATTATTATATTTATAAAGTACGACTGGTTTTGATTTAAAAATGTATCGTCAAATGTAAATAAAGTAAATAAAATTGCAATTGAGTATGAAAAAATAAAAGAAGAAAAATTAATTGTTTTACATAGAGATAATTTGTTTTAAGTTTAAAATAAATTTTTATTAGATATAGATGCGTTAAGTAAACATTTTGGTTATTATTATTTATTATTTATTGATATAAGACTTTATTTTTAAAGTTGGTTTGTACATTTGAATTATTATTAAAATAATTTGCTTTATTTCATCATATATATGTAACTCTTCTAAAAATGAATTAATGTAAATATATTTTGAGTATTTAATTTTTCCAGGTGAGAATACAAAGGAGGCTATTGGGGCTGAAGCCACCCATTAGACATTAGGTAGAACCATATCAGACGTAAGAATGATTTCGTACAAATCGACATGCGCAACGAATTATGACAGTAACTCACATCACTAGTCTACCCTCCTTTTTTCATTTCTAAATTCACCCCTGGATTTTTCTAAGTCTATATAAATATCAAATTGTATATTATGGCTATTAATTAAAATAAATTATCTCTATGGAAATTGATTATTTTTTTTTAGTGTATTCCTTTCTTTATTTTTCATATTCAGCTGCGATTTTATTGACATTAACCTAACCTTACGATGAATATTTATTTTAAAACCGATTTTAATTATTAACTATAGATTTTAGAGTTCTACAAGTTATTGTACTTTCTCCTCATTTATTTGTCCATATAAATACTGCTCCTTCAGTCCATCGTCATGCAAGAATTCTCATGTTCGCCGGTGACATAAAATTTATCCTGCATGGTTAATTTTATGATTGTCAACCTCTCCAGCAAGATTTTATAAATTATTGGTACCACGGGATAATTCCCTAGGTCTCTGACTAAACATATTTGAATGTTTAGTATTTTCATTCTTTCACTCGTTCTCCTATATACATTTTTCTTATTCAATTTATAATATTACCATCAACTATTCTAGCGATGAGTACTCACTCATGACCATTTCCCTTTTAAACACAATGATTTGTCATGCTGTAAGACACTTAAGGTTCTTGGGCTTATTCTCCGTTCTTCTTCTGCGTTTCACTATCTATCCTCTTTCAAACCCTAATAGTGCACTCTCATACGTTCTATTCTTGAGTATGGTAGGATTCTTCAAGATTCCTCCATTCTCCTGTTCTGACTAAAAGGATTCAGAGAAAATTCCTTTGTATTATGGTCTTTTGACTCAATATCCACCATACTCCACATGATGACACCTTATCTAACCTACCTTCGTGACTTCAATATCTCAACCCTAACCGACCATCAATATGCCACTAACTTTTCATTTTTGTCTAATCTTCAAATCGCCAAAACAAACTATACATACTATCCCTTATTAATTTTAGAACCCTTACTTGTATTACTCGCGATTCTATTTCTTGTATTATTCATCGTTCTTCTTCTAAATTATGTGAGCAGTAAATAGTGATCCCTCATTTTAATTTTAATACTACATATCACACCAAAACTTGTATCGTATAATATTATATTCAACTGTTTTGGGTGTGTCCCGTATATACTACTTTGTACAGATAAATAAATAACATATTTCTTCTTAAAACCAATTATTATTTTCATTTAAAATATTTTTTTTTTATTATTTATTAACAAATACTATGAGTAAGTAATACTATATACAACAGAAAACTATAATTATTTTAATGGAAAATAACTTTAATGTTTAACAATCAACATTAGTTGTTATATCAATAATGATATATTTATTTATGGACAAATTTATATTTTAAATATCTCATTAGAATTAAAATGTTACAAATGGTCATGGTTATTATCAAAAATGTATTATAAAATTTACCACTTCGATTAACTTTGATTAACCCTACTTCTTTCACTTAATATCGTATTTTTCGATAACAATGATAAATTGGTTTTAAGTTTAAAATACTAATACAGCAATATAATTCCACCGTCCCTATACATCACCAAATTTTGGAGTCTCGTCTGATCTAGAAGTTTTCTTTTTTTATTATTTGTGTTTAATAAATAATCGTACTATTACTAATTTTCTTTTGAAGACTTGTAATTTGATATAATATACTTTTATGGCTATTGATAAAGTTAAATATTAAATTGTTTTTCAAGGTACTTAAAGTATATATCCTGCTGATAGTTATTCTTGGTTATTTATGAAAGAACTCTATTATGAATTAAATATGACAATAGCTTTAGCTATAGTAGATTTTTATTAGAAAGTAATAATTTTTTAGGTGAAATTTCTAACAATATTTATATAATACTGTTTTTTCAAAAATCTATTGGCACTATGGTAATTACAAAATCATATTTTGTTGAGTTATTTATTTCTACATGGTTCTAGATCTATACTAGAAGTTGGTGTACCCTAAAGGGTGGCCATCGCTCTAATATTATTTAATGTATACACAGTAATCAAACTTCGACTCAAAACATCACCGTAAATAATTTCACTAATGATTCAGCATTACTTTTGGTTCACAATCTTTCTTTAATGTGGCTTCAAAATAATAACTCCACTGTATACATTTACTTTTTTTCGATATCATATAAAATATTAAAATAAATAAAACTACCTAATTGATACAAATATTATCACATATTGAACTAAATATGTATTACCCTTAAATTGTAATACCCTAACCAAACCTAACCTAACCATAAAATATTATTTACTCAAGATTGAAAAAATTATTATACACATAGAAACATCAGTTGAAAATACATTTTAACAGTATAAAATCATAATTTAATCACCATTTATATATTATTAACTAAAATAAATTAGAATAAACTTCGGAAATTTAAGAAAAATCAAATATCAATTTGTATTCTTTGTAAATACTTTTAGAGTTTTTTAGTTTAAAACTTTAATACATTTTTTATAACTATGTGTAAACAGTTTATGGTTTACTTTAAAACTTCTAGGTTTTAAATCAAAGATGCATTGAATTTTAATATTTTTCGTTCGTAAACGTTATAGGCATATATTTTAAAACTGGAAAATGCTAAAAGAAAGAAATCAGAATATTGATTATGAGTTAACAGTTGATATGAGTAGGTTTATAGAGAAATTAATTTAATCATTTGTATTTATGTACTCGTATAAATAGTATATATTGGTCATTGAAAAAACAGATCCGGAAAAACTAATAAAATACTGTCTGTACATACTTATATTTATACTAGAGAACCTTTTGGTACGAGAATTTCTATTTTATTCAATGTTATTTTTGATATTGTGACCAATGAATAAGAGAATAGGATAGTCTATTATAGATATATTTGGGGGCGGGACCCGTTTCGCCCAAAATTTGTGTTTATATGATTCCCGATTCGCACAGAGTAGTTTAGACCATTTTAAAATTAAGTTGGCTATGATTATAATATTTTAATATTTTAATATTTGAGTATCATTTAGCGTTATCCAAAAAACACCACAAGGAGGCGATATTCTTTGTTTTCCAAAAAATTTTGGAAATAACCAAAAGTATATAACGTAGCAGAACACGAACGTTTTACACAATGCCAACGAATCTCACATGTATTTATATTATTTGAACCAAAATTGTATTTGTAATTATTAATCATTACCATATCTTTGTCACTTTTAGTTTTTAAAAACACAGCCATTTAAGTAAAATGCGTGTTATGTTTACACGTCGACGTCGCGTATACGCACTGACCACAATCAAAGATAATCTTTGTTGTCTATTACTTATATAAGTTATAAGTAGGTATCTATTTTATACTAGATAAGAAAAGCTACGGTGATGATGCAGCGCATTGATAAATTCATTTTTTCGGTGTGTTTTCGGTATGCATTTGATAGGTTTTGCTCGATCTCAATTCGATAACGACTGGAATTTTTGTGTTATTTGCTATCAATTTTATATATTATTTATTTATAAACGATATTTCTTTTCTTTCCTATCTCAATTACCCGTAATTTTATTACGGAACAGAAATTAAAAATTCAATATTTAACTCATATATTAATTTCAAAACACTAATAAACTTGTATTAATAAATAAATAATAATTTTATTTTAGTATTTTACTGCCTTTTTATTTTAAATAAATGTATTTAACTATGTGAAGTTTGTATGGTTCTATTTTTAATCATTAATGGTACGTGACTGATTGATAATATATTTAAGTGGTACGTGAAAAAATAAGTTTGAGAACCGCTGTCATAGATATTATTACAAATATGAAATATTGACCAATAAATAACATTTTTTGAAAATATCTTTTTTTTTATCTAGATAAAAAAGGAAATTATCTTTTATCTTTATCTAGATATTTTAATTTTTTTTATCTATTATCTTTATCTAGATGAATTTGGACATATTATCTTTCATCTTTATCTAGATAAATTTTGCATTATCTATTCCCAACAATGTTTATAACAGTCGTCTTTTAGTGATCAGAAACTTTAGCACCATTTCTTCTTGACGTTCGCTAATAATATTTTATTGAACTATTGCCAACTTAATTTTAAATTGGTTTAAACTATTTGGGTGAAACGGGAATCATAAAGAAACACAATTTGGGCAAAACGGGTACTCGGGTGAAACGGGCAGGGTCATTTTTGGGTGAAACGGTCTACGACCATATTTGGAAGCTATCATAAACACCTATAATCTTGATTGTATACTATTTTATTTTTGTAAAATAGTTTATTATATTATTACTATATTATTTTAGAAATATTTTATTATACACAAATATTATAAGTAATTACCTTAATTATAAATATGGATTCAGGGAAATCATTTTTATAGATGCAGTTATATATTAACATTTAAATATAGTTATAATTAAAAAAAAATCATTCTTTTATCACTGAATACTAAATTCATATCAAATCCACGTAAATTATTTTACTACACACAATTACATAGGATTTGCGGCTCGAAATCCATATGAATATGACGCCTATGACTCACTTTTTCGCTTTTTTTTTTTAGTTATAAATCCGTAGATTTGTTTGTTGCAGCTCTCCATACTTCTCTTCGTAGCACAATTCATTCAGGTCTTTGTAATTTTTTTTATTTGTATCTGTGTCATGTATTCTCCCCTTGGTTTTCCTTTTACAATGTGTCCTACAACATCTCCTTCAATTATTTTCTTTATTAAACATACAAATCTGTCATACCTTAATATGTGTTTTATTATCTTGCCTCTTCTGGATTGAATACATTTTCGTTTTTGTTGTTATACTTTTATTTTAACTACTACTTTTTTGCTTGTATTATTTAAAATAAAAAACTCCTTATAAGGAGCTATAGCTTCTAAACACAATTATATTTATGAAAATTAACTAATCAGCTTAATCATAATATCCACATGATTTCTGGTATGATTAAATTGAACCCTGTTCAATGGCTACCGATATCTAGAATAATTGTTCCACCTGGTTTTCGTCGCAAATAATCAATATTAAAATTACGAAGAAAAGTAATTTTG